AAGATATTTTTGAGATATTTTCCTTCACACATGTAGATAATATGATTGCATTTAGATGATGACAACATATGATGCAAATATTTTCTATTTGCTTCGAGATTAATATAAATCTTAACAAACATTCAATGGACAGTCAATCGGAATGAAATCAACCTTTATATATATATGTATATATAAAATATTTTCATTATATTGTACAATTGTTCGGGTGCTTGAAGTAGATACACTAATAAGACCTTGTTTTTATACCCATTACCGAACGATGAAGGGTGCATTCATTTTATTAAATCATTTGCAACGTCCCGAAAGAAGCTTTAGAGACGTCACAGTATATATTATATTCTTCATCATCATCAAATTCTGAATCGATTTAAGTATGTCTATCGGTACGTCAGTACAGATGTGTAACATCCGTTGTAAACATTTTCTTAGCCGCAAAGACAAAACTATCGACTTTAAATACAGCGAAAGGTCTTGCACGCAGGTTGGTGCTGAAAACGGGCTCAATTTGTCGAAGGTCGCCAGCACAGCACTACGTAAACTGAGAACACATCTTGTTGTTGTTCAAAGGGAATAAAAAATTAGTTTTTCCTCATTACTTTGCTCATAAACTGTCGAAGATAAATATACAATAATTTCAACGCATATTCTATGGGGCGTTGCTGGCGGCAAGACGGTACCATATTATATTGAAACAAGACTATCTTACCATATGTACGGACTCATTATGATTGTCCTTCAATCAAAGCATCATTAACAATGGTCGCTCGCTTTCTATAACATGGAGTACATTGGCGAAGAGTTTCACCACGTTGCAGCATCTCGTACTGTCTCTGTCGTCCCTCTTCAAGCACGCACGTTATTCATTATCTCATTGACAATATTCTCCGCAGAAATATTCAGTATAGTTTGGATAAGTTAATTGAAACACATTGCATGAATAAAAAGTTTTTTTTTTTTTTAAATCAAAAACCAAACCTTTCCATTCAAACAAACACTCGGCAATTAGACAGCAATCAATATTTTCCAGAAATCCTGCATACTCCTCTAGCTATATGCATGAAGATTAAATCATTTTTTTCTTGTTTTTCGTTTTTTCTTTCGTTTTGTGAAACTGAAATTTACATCAAAATAGGCGTGGATGGCAAATCACTACGTTTTCTGCATTCATATATGTTCTTATCTTCAGTATGAGTAGAAAGAAGATATAACGCATAAAAGCATCTAAGCAACAGTTTCGTACGCTTAGTTTTCTTTTCAACATGAATAAATAGCTTGAAGTGCAGTGAAAAGGGGTTGTGTGAATTTGCTGAGTGTACACATGCATGCATACATGAAACGTTAATACCAAATATGTTTTGAGAATTCCCGAACATTTAGTCCCTTCAAACTATCGAACAGTAAGAATCAGCGAAATTTTATGTTGATTTCTTTTTTCGCTGATTTTTATTGCAGAGGAGGCAAAATTAAGTGTCACAGCATGTGAAGAGGTACACAATTATATGTCATAGTTATTGCACACCTGGAAGAAATAAATCAAAGTTATAAGATTTGCAATCCCAGAGTGGCCGCTACCAAATAAACTGATCTCCAGTTGGAAATTTCCAGCTTGGGGGAGGGGAAAAACGGAACGTCTCCTCCACTAATTGTGTCGATAAACGAATGGATGATATATTCATTCACGAATGTTATTTTTTAAAAACATGAGGAATTGTTTTTTCTTTTTTTTTTTTTTTTTTTGTTCTTTTCCGTTTTACACGTATTACAAAACCTCGACAATACGTTTTTAAACATATTACTTTTGCATGTATTTTAATCATTTGTTCATGCAAGCACAGCCTATATAGAGTATTATTAGCCAGAGAAATAAATTCGAAGGCTCAAGTCTTAAAACGCAAGCATAAGCATCTAAGGCTATCTATCGGCTTCGATGAAAACTCTCTATATTGGCATAATTTCAATTTACTATGGAATTGTGGGTTTTTCAAACCAAACATACATTTATACATTTTATTTTCAAAGCGTTTAACTTAGACGTGTAAAGCTACCGCGAAGGACACACAATCAAGGTATGGAATCAAAACGGTTTACGGAATGTTAAGTAAATAAACTTCCCCATCGAAGTGATGCCGACCGGCAATGTCGCTTAAGAGCTTACTTTCTTTACTTTAAGGAGAAATGGACTTCTTGTTTTTCATACGATATGCTCGCTTCATTTTGATTTCCTTGCTACTATACGCTTGACTTCATTGACATGCTGTCACTTTCATGTGAGCGAGCTATTGTCGTTTCTTTCGACAGAATATATATTAACATACATTAGTAAGTTTTTACTTCTTTTAGCAATTTCGGTGTTAAATGCCGATCGATATTTTTGCTTAGTTTGGCTTATGATAGTCCAAGAAGTCGATACGAACAATTTGCATATCTAAGGTTGCATAAGTATTTCAGTATTAAAATTTTTTATTAAAGAAGAATGTTTTTCTAAGTTTGAAAATTGAAAGTTCAAACGTAAAGCTATCGCTTACGACAAAGTTAAGCATATTTAAAATTGCTTGGCTTAGCCTTAAGAAAATGAATAGAACACTTGGGCCAGAGACTCGCTCCGATGGAAGTTGATGGCATTTAACCGCTAGGGAAGTATAGAAGTCAAGTAAGTTGCTAAAGGATTAGAGAGAAAGAGAGAGAGAGAGAGAGAGAAAGAGAGAGAGAGAGAGAGAGAGAGAGAGTTTTAATGTTAATCCAATTACTTTCAATATTAATTTATCTGTCACTGTCGTCACTCTTGGGGATACGGTAACAACGATAATATATTATGAAAACATAAAAAGAAAACTGCAGAAAAGACTCTTGTCTGCATACATTTTGCGATAACATTTTTGTTTCTTGTTTTTGCTTTACCGCAATATTGTGAAATTGTTCAAGGTTAACTGCATAGACGATGGATGCCACAATAGGCCAACAGAACCGATTGTGTGCATTACTGTTTTCTTTAAAGCCCAAAACAATGCATACGATAAATGTACAACAAAAACAACAAGAAGAACAACAACGGCAACGAATGTAGCAACCGCTGCATACTTAATAACACAACAATTGTGGCAACAACAAACAACAAACATAGAAAGAAAAAAGTGTCTAAAAATTACAAAAGCATTTCCGTTTACACTGTAAAGAAAAGTGCAAAGCAAAAGTGGCAATTTGGCATTTAAGTCCTTTTTATAATGCCAATGCCATCTACAATCGCTTGCTTAAATGTATATATAGGTATGTAGGTATATATATATATATATATATATATATATATATATAGGCATAACATATGCATGAATAATATTGTAAATGTGCATGCAGTTGGTTAGCGGTGCAGTTTAGTGTATATACTGTGTACACATATATGTGTAAAGAAATGAATGAATGAATAAACAAACGAATGATTGTGTGTATCATAATATATTGTATACACATATACTTATAAACTCATGCGTATTAAAGCACAAGTGGTGTGAAGGTTCTTTTTGTTTTTTCTACACGTTTTTTTTAATTGTATGTTTGTGTGTGTGTGTGTGTGTGTGTGTGTGCGTATCTGTGTGTTTTTTTTTAATTTCCTTTTTTTTTATTTTTTATTTATTCTTTTTTTTGTCTTTTTTGCAGCCAAAACAACTTGAAAGTATGATGCAAATTTCTTTTACTTGTTTGTTGGGCTGTATGTGTCACCAGGTGTTCATCATAAATGTGGTTGGGCTTTACTCTCTCTCTCTCTCTCTCTCTCTCTCTCTCTTAGTTTTATTATTTCATACATCATTGTTTTTACAGCAATGAGAGTCAGTCAAGAGCACTAAAAAAGGCAGTTAGGCTAAATTAAAAGAAAACACAATAAAGCAAAATAAAAAAAACATACCCGAAAGGAAAAAACAAAACAATTGTTACAATATACTAACGCTGCAATCTTAACTAAAGGGCTAAAATGCTACTTGGCGTAGGGTGTACCTAACAGAGAAGAGCACTTGTTGGGGAAAAATTTCCATTAAAACGCTTGAATGCGGACTTTGTCGCAATATGAATAAAGTGAAACAATATTGAGTTATTTCTTTTTAGTGCGAATACATAATTTGCATTTTAATCTTTCATGTATTAAAAATTGCGTTTATTATTATGAAGTTACTTAAGTATTAGATAACGCATAAGACGAGTTTTATATGCAAAAAAAAAATAAATAAATAAATAAAAAATAAAAAAACAAAAAACAACAGCACTTAACAAACGTTTACCCTTTCTTACTATTCTAGTCAAACCAAAGTAGTGTTACATCCTTTCAGGTCCGACACGCAGACCGTGCGAGTTATTACTATTGGGAGCGAAGACGACTATTTAAGGCGTAAAATTCTCTTCATGGTGCAATCTAAAAAATTTTTAAATTAGCGATTTGCGCAAAGTCATAATAGAAGAACGCGTTCGCAGGCTAACGGTCCGCGACTATATATTGTGAAACATGTCCCCAAAATTCTGAGATAACTAAACAGCTGATCATTATATGCTTTAATCTATGGCCCATGTAAGCAGAACTCATCCTGCTCAAAAACTGATCTCTTCAGGCGTGGACTCAATAGATAAATCGCTCTTTCAATGCGAAACTCATATTCTGCCGCCAAAATCGGCTCAGAAGCGGTTAGGATAGGCAATGCGCGGAGTAAAATACATTTTACCAATTGCTTTCAATAAACTTTAAATTTTGTTAAAAGATCGGTAAAAACTTAATTATGTAGACGCAATTGGTTTACAGCTTAAATTACTTGGGTGTTGCTATGTATTAAAAATTATTTGTTTTTTGGGTCAAATATTCAGATCTAATAAAATTAAATTAAATTCAGCTAAATTTGGAAAAGTATAGTAAGATTAAAAAATCGCATTTTTAATCAATAACGAAGTAATAAGTAATAAAATTTTGTCAATTATTATTAGTAACAAATTAAAATTAATCTTTTGATTTTTATTTGCAGAGCATTATCACGTAAACTAAAGCCCCATTTAGTTGCTGACACCGTTAAACAGTATATCAGCCGAGCGCAACGCACTGCCAAGGGTTCACAAGAGCAGCCTAACATGGAGTTTTTACGTGGCGTATATGCGTTTATGCAAGTGAGTAGATCATCGGTGAGTGTCGCTTTAACCAATTTAACAAATTTTACTAATCCATCTATGTTTTCTTCTTCAACTTATTTTTTTTAAATGTATATTTCTTGGTTTCACTTCTCTAATAACACACACATTATGATGTGTGTAAGTGTTAAAATAAAAAATAATACATACAAAAAAAGCAAAAAATATAATTTAAAAAATTAATTAAAAGAATTAAAAAAAAAAAAAAAAAAAAAAAATTATTTATCCTGGCCATCATTTAAACATGTCTACATATGTGTGTGAATCGCTTTGCCTTTTACGTGCAATGTATATCTACTACTACTACTTCTACTACTACTACTACTACCACTACTAATATTAATAATAATAATAATAATAATAATAATAATAATAATAATAATAATAATAATATATATGATAATAATAATAATAATCATAATAATAATAACCATCATTGAATTACATATATATGCATACATACATGTCTATATATAATATTTATATTATTTTGTTTAAACGAGAAAGAAAAAAAAAAACAAAAAGTAAAACAAGAACCATATGAACAGTGATGTGCTATATTATTAATAGACAAATCAACGAATTCTATATTCTATGATATATGGGAAAAAAGAAAAAAAAACAAAAAAAAATGAAAAGTAAATATCATTCTATTTAGCAATAAGTCATCATATCAACAATTTTTGTTGTTGTACATTAGCTCACATATAATGTATATGTCTTATTGTGTGTGTGTCTCTCTCTCTCTCTCTCTCTCTCTCTCTCTCTCTCTTTATCTCTGTATATCTTCATCTCTGTCTCTCTCCTTCTGTCTCTATTTCATTCCATTTAAGTGTAAATCTGTTCCTTTTTACGTTTGTTTCCTTTCGTTTGATAATAAACAGCATCAGATCATTATTATGATAAATGGCATCCATCCTTCGTAACCAACATGTACTGTATAATTCTGTTTTATTTGATTTTTCTTATATATCTCTTTCTCTCTCTGTCTTTCTCTTTCTTTCTCTCTCTCTCTCTCTCTCTCTTTCTCTCTATATATATCTTTCTATCTATCCATCTATCTATCCATCTATCTATCTATCTGTCCATCTTCTATCGAAGTTCCCATTATTGTGTCTTATTAATTGGTAAATGGATGAAATTAAGCTTTGAACATAACTTTGGTTTCAAAAACGAAGAAAAATGATAAAAACAAGAAAGGAAAGTAAAAACAATGCAAGAGATCCTTTAGAGCATAAGATTGAAACAATTGCGGAAACAATTAAATGGATAACGAATTAAATGCATTCGTTTACTATCTCAAAGGCAGAAAAATTCCGCACAACCAGATAGAAACAACGATTAATAACGTAGTCGTAATAATAGCATCCATTTGACCGTAAACTGAGATATTGGAGCGTAATTAGGATATGTTCGAATACAATCTTTGAATCGATTAAACTACTTGTATTGGGATTATATAGAGCCAGGGTTGCTTTCTTTAGAGGATTTTTGAGTGCCGCCTGTGAGGCTGTAAGCCTTACCCTGTTATACTGAATTATCGAAATTGTCTAAAAACTATATGTCTGTTGACGAAGTAACGCTAATGTTCCAAATATTCATAGCAGCAGGTAGGCAGCCAGAATATTTACCGTTAGCCATTTTAAAAATATATTATTGTATCCCCTACCCTAAGCCCGAAGTTATTGCCTTTTGCAAACAAGCTCAAGTTCATAATTTTTTTTTTTTTTTTTGGCCCCGTAAAGGCACAAGATCAGAGCAGACGTTCTTGCAAAGTAATTTCTTTTTGCGCATCAACATTTTGCTGTCTCTATAGTGTGTCTTCAGGTGCCTAAAATGCACATTTTCTTTTATGGGCAGAGCAAATATTATATATATTAATTATTTGACAGGGTCGCTGGCACTAAACGTCATAAGATAGGTGTCAAAATTTCACGACATTCCTAAAGCCATCCTACGAACCCACTGTCACTACACTTTCATTGCCGCTAGTTTGGGAAGCAATAGACTTTCGAAACATATGTTCGGAGGCTAAGGAGCCTTGTACCGATTATTGTTTTCCTTACCTTAAAAGCCTTAAAAGTTTTTAACCAAAAAACTATCCTATGAGAGGGAAAATAAATGAAAATCACGTTCAATTAACGCTCCTGGGATCTTTTTTTCAGGCGGTCTCGAACTTTGAAAAGCCGTCAAGCACTTTCATAGGCTTTCTTCCTATTCCCTAAGCCGTAGCATTTCAAATTAAATTTCACTTTTCACTTCAGATACTTCTACAGTTCATAATAGTAATTTCGCTCCAATCTATTACTAGGTGGCGTATGTGCGAATTTGTATTCAGTTCAAATGCAAAGTTTTTTCTCTTTTTTTTTTGAAAGAGTGAGATAAGATCATGTTATGCTTTTTGTAACGTGTATCGTGTTTTAATAGACTGTTTGCCTTAACTACCAGTTAGTGAAAATTTCAAAATAATTCAATCTTTTTTAACGTACTTTTGATTATTCCAAATGAAACAGAATAATTTTTGGATCGTCGAAAAAGAAAATGTTAAGCTATCCGATCTATTATTTTCGCTGATTATGTATGAGTTGGTTTAGAACAATTATATATGTTAATAACTATCGCCGTATGATTAGGCGGGTAAGCAAAGGAGTGCGACTAACACTTCAATGGCCGCGGTCCAAATCTCAAGGGCGATAGATTTTTGAAAGCATACGATCTACGTTATTCGGCATCCGGCATTAAGTTCATACTTTGTAAATTCATTTACATAACTCATAGGCAATAAATAAATGAATTGAGCGATAGAGTTGAGGAGTAGTAGTGGGTGTTAGGTTATGTATTATATAAAACCAAAGTTATGTTTAAAAATTTGTACACAAATTCTAAAAGGAGATGTCATTAAGTCAAAAATTCTACTAAGTTTTATTTTAAGAAATTTTCTTAAGTCCAGAAAAACAAAAAAAAAAAAAAACTAGAAGAAAAATTATTAACTGAGCGAGTGAGCGAGCAAAACATATTATAATAAAAAATAAATAACATAAAAAATAAATTATATATATATATATATATATATATATATATATATGTATATATATATGTATATATATATATATAACGTCGGCCTGTTCATAAAACTTGAAAAAAAAAAGAAGAAAAAATCAATCACAAATCATCCGAAGAACCATAGGAAGCTGGAGTTTCGGACATATAGCGCATTAAAACCATCACTAGGCGTAAATTTCTTTATAATTTCTATTTTAATTTTCTTTCTATTTTGTAACTTCAACTATCGACAAATTTACTTCAGTAATGTATTAAACATTAATCACACAAGAATCAACAACAAATTAATATTAATATAAATTTAATTTAATTCAAAAAAAAAAAAAAAAAAAAAAAAAAAAACGGCACATCAGTCTCAGTCAGAACGAACAACAAACAAACAAACAAACAAACAAACAAATCTATAAAAAGCAAGCAGTATTCAACAGCAAATATTTCGTACGGGCTTAACCGAGACTTACATTACATTACCTGGTCATTAACAATTTCTCACCAAATCTGTACTTTCTTCTCCTTATTTATATATACATATATGTATATATGTATATATAATTTTTCTTTTCATTTTATTCGTATGTAATTATGTAAATTTGTTATTAGAAAAACAACAATAAAAAGAAGAAAATACAATAGACAGCATAAGAAAGTCTTGCGTGTTATAAAAACCTCGTTGTCAAAAATTTGCATTAAATTCTTTTTTTTTTTTTTTTTTTTTCTTGTTAGATGAAATCAACACACATTTTGCCTGTCATAATTTTATTTTAATTTTTTTTTTTTTATTGTTTTTGTTTTTCCTTTCGCTTTCTGTTCTTAAATTCTAAACCCCATCAGAAAATATAATATAAGCACTAAAGGTACTTGTGTACATTAAATATTCTCATAAATTATATATTATAAGAAGTTTGTTCGTCTATCTGTCTGTTACCGAATTTGATCCTAACGAAGTTTAAGCAAATCTCTTATTCACTTATTTTATTATGCTTAGTTCAAGTGTAATATTCGAATGGTACGTGTGTGTGTACTCGCAACAATCGAATTAGTCTTAAGAAAAGAATTTCTTCCCAAAAGATATAAGGATCCAATATTTAGCGAAAGCGGTAAAAAAAAAAAAAAACTATATATATATATAATCTCGATGCGTATGATCATTGAAGAATTTGTCATTTCATCTACATGATCTGTATCCATGATTAGTTGCAAAGTAAACAAAGTCGTTGTATTTGGCTCCATTTCATTTGTACAATATCATCTTATACGTCTAATCTATATAATTGTGTTACTATTTCCCCAGGGCGTGAGCAAGAAGTATCAGCAATTAAGTCGATTAGATAGTCCACAGTGAAGGTACACACGTCGATCTTAATAACATCCCACTGTTGGCAGATTTTATGAATCAGGCATCAGTCAGCGATTTTAGAGGAAGTGCTTTCTGGCGCATGGCCACCTTTTAGGCCGCTTAAAAGCAAGTAGCATGGCATCCTGGTTAACATGGTTAACATGCCTACTCTAAAGCCAAACAAGCCTGGAATGATCTTTAATTTGCACTTTTCTATAGTTATTCATCTAGTGAAAGTCGGACACTTTTATATAATCGAATAATATATTATTATATACTAATGTAGTCAGATGGTCCGATAATTGGGGGAACGTAAATGGCGGGGACATCACTCAAGAAATACACGTGCAAAAATCCCTACAGAGACAGACGGACAGTCGAAACTTTCTTACTAGGCCGGCTGGCGTTGTGCCCTGGGTTATTTTAACTCTACCGTAACTATGATCTCCCGCCGAGGCCGCCGAATTTGGGTCGTCAGACAACAACAGCACAAACGCATTATCAAAAAAAAAAAAAAAAAAAAAAAAAAATAGTAAGAGAAAGAGAAAAAGAAATAATCTTGAATATCCTCGGACTCGCACTGTCAGAAGCAATG